GACCAAGTGGCATTTAGCACCAAGCAAGTCCTCCTTGCCATGAAGCAACACGACATCCCTGCACCTACGGAGATCGACAGTCCTCTTAGTCAGAGTACCCCTGGCGTCTTCAGTCGACAGGGAATCTCAACAAGAAAATTGCTGACAGAGATTACCGGCAGACTCCCAGTTCGTCACTGTTGAGGGACTCTTCACCCGCCAATACTTACTGTATCCAAGACGATGACATAGATACCCATATCATCCCACCACTATCTCAGGGACATTGCCACAGAAGATGTTCCTGTGTCCATCAGTTCGGCACTCAAGTTGTTGCAATGCAGTTGACAGTCTCAGCCAGGCGATAATTACTCACCCATAATCATGTAGAATCGTAGACATGGAGTCTTAATCCACAGAATCTTATGATTACCCAAAAGAAGGTGGTCCCCCATTGTATAGCGGCAGTGGCAGAAGATTGAAGAGTTCCCAGGGGTGGATCAAACAGTATCAGAATCCAAATAGATGGCTGACCCAGGAAAAATATATAATTTTTATGATAAAATTTATATTTTATGCTTATCCTGACTCATAGTCTAAGGCCCTCCCAACCGTCCCCACTCTCCAGTATTTGGCTTCGGTCATAAAATAGCTTGGGCACTATAATGGAGAAAGTGACAGGTAGCCTATGGTCATGTAGGAAAGGGAGAGGTTCATTTGGGGTGAGCTATTTTTTATTGTTCATTAGGGTAACAAAAGGACTGAAGTTTCCACTCTTCCACTGAAGAAAAGGGAGATAAGCAATAACGTATGAGCCAGGATAAGTATAAAATATCAATTTTATCATGACAGTTACATTTTGAAGTTGAAGTGAACACAAGTTTCTACTCTTTCTTCACTTTTCTTCACAATTGCTATTATTTTCATCTCAAAACACTATGCAACAGGAAAAGCCTTTTAAAAAGGCAACGTTGGATGCACATGAGTAAATTAAAGAACAAATAAACTTCTTCTTTTTTAACTGTTTTAACTATTACATATGAAAGACTTGTGGTTAGTCTTATGCGAAACACCAAATTCATTCTTAAAAAACTTGTGGTTAATTATTACCGAGCGATTACAAGTTGCCAAAAAGTCGCCTGCTTCACTCTCGACCGCCAACGAAACCACAGACAGGTTACGTAACTCTGTCGCCAGAGCACTGCAGTGACGTCATATGAGGAAGGATGTTCAGTTAGTTGTATATAAAGTGTGTAGCAAGCTTTTCATTTTGATGATTTCTCGACATCAACAAAGACATGCCTAATCGTTGCGTTGTCGTCAATTGCTCCTAGGGGTCAGGCAATGGTGTCATCATGCACAGATTTCCACAGGACCCCGCAGTTCGTGCTAAATGGGTTATGTTTGTGAGTGCGAAGTGAGCGTTGTGGAAGCCTGAAACAATATCTTACTTGTGTTCAGATCGCTTCACAGAAGTTAAAGAATCAAAACTACTTACTAGTTGTAGTAAAATATGTATATGATTGATGACCATAAAGACTTTCCATGACATAACTTGTAACATAACGATTTCTTCCTCGGAAGTGAGGTTGTGGTCGAAGTAACAATAATATTGTAAGTAGTATTATATTGACACCCATCTCGTTTCCACGAGAGAAATTGTTATGTTATAAGCTATGTCATGCAAAATCCTATGGGCCCTCAATCAAATACATATTTTACTACCAGTAGAAAGTAGTTTTGATTTTGTAACTCGGTGAAAACAAACCTAAATAGCATTTATCCTCAGACAGGCAGATGTTCGCGACAGGGCCCTGCCATTTTTGAAAATCGTAAAGACACAGGCTAAAGTCTGTTAGAATTAATGAGATTATGGTTTGTTTTCATCAAGTTAGAAAATCGAAACTACTTTTTACTCATAGTTAAATATGTATTTGAATCATGACCAAAAAGATTTTGCATGACACAACTTATAACATAACGATTTCTTCCACGGAAGCGAGGTGGGGGTCGAAGTCACAATACTGCGCGATAAATTTCTTGCTACATTCACATGGTTAACGTCCACTCACCAGTATGTAGATACTAGTCAATGTACGTTTTTATATTTGGTCTTATAATCCTAATTAGTTTATTATCATACTTGTATGCATTTTGAAACTAAATAAAAAGCAGACAATCTGCTGATACTTATAGTGAATTTATAACAGGACTGTAATATCTAGCCATTTTATAGTTTTCCAATGTGAATCATAATTCGCACACACGCCCTAGTGTATGTTATCTGTCTCATTACTCTTCACGGCGAAAACAATGATTCTGTTGAATGCTACGACAAATGAATAAAAACAAAATGCAAATATCAAAATAAAAATAGATTAAAGTTATAGGAACAATGTCAGGCTATTACCTTGTTCGAGGAATGTATCCATCAATATCCACAAAAACGAGTGATATGCCATTCATCTGCAGCTGTCTTTTAACAGTCTAATATACGAAAAAGTGATATATCGTTTTAGGTATTTAACATTGGTGTATAGTCTCATTGGTCACCCAAGATAGCACACCTGGCAACTAATTGCATAATGTCCGCCATTCTTTAAAAGACAGTAATTTAGTTAGCCAATAATGAGCAATCAATCAATGTATTGCCGGTTAATCCTTTGAAAGAAGGACATTGTTTTTACGCAGACACCGACACGACAGAGTGTATTCAGTATAGATTAGTAGATCTACATACATAAACACTACCTTTTGACAAATCCGCTGTGTAAGATAAAAGTAATTAATCAATCAACGTGTTATCGGTTAATCCTTTGATTGAAGTTTATAATGTTGAGTATTTACTCCAGACACAAGAAATGCCAAATGGGAACCTTTGTCGGGTAATCTAAGTGGTGTTACCACTAATTATACCTGTTATAAATTCATTAACTGACCATCAAGTGAATGATGACAAGTAACATGTGTAGGTATATACCACCTAACACGGGTTACAACAAAGGAGTATTAATTGCTGTATTGCATGCAATTTTAATTGCATGTGAAAACTTATGGGCCGACACTGTTTTGAGAATGCGAACAGAACTTCATTGTTGCATAAGAAATACATATAAGCATTTGCTGTGTGCTAAAACTGTATGTACCTATTTACCTAAGTATATTTTTCAGATTCTTCTAGCAATGGCAAAGTAGGGTTGTTTAATTTACAGATTTAAATAAATCAAATGTCAATTTTTAATATCATATGTAATAGACGACATATTTTTACATGACATGATTAAATATCGAGGTTAAAAAAACCCACAGAAATGGGATCAATTTGGATCAGTCATTATACGATCCAGCCATTAGAAAACCTGCAAAAGCCCACACTGCTTTGATACTTTATTACAATCCGACAAGAACTACCGGGGATATTTTCAAATAACTGCATCTGATGGGCATTCACCCTTCTTAATGTTGCACTGTTTAGGTTGAAGAAATTAACCATAACCATGATGAGCGAGGCTGATCATCGTTTTCACTATCACTAGCGTCTGGCTCGGACAAATAAGGCCTAGCGACACCAAGCGATTTTGACAGAATCGTCTATGAAAACAAGTTGTAACTCAGAAACTAGGCAAAGCAGGAGACAAAATTAATGACAGTAGATTGTGAGAACATATAGCTTTCATTTTTCACAACAGTTGTCACGATTTCAGGTTTATACAAACCTGAAATGTACATGAATTCTGCATTGGCCCTCATATATATTCTTCATATATATGACGTCACAGAGACGTGTCGCTCTGATTGGTTGAAATTTCGTTCGCGGGTGAGAATTGTGCACTGTTGTCCAAAAGGTTGATTTAAGTTAAAGATCGAAATGAGTAGTTTTTATGACGGGGTTTAATTTATAACGATGCCAATTAGTGATTTATGTATATGTACCCCCCTAGAGTATATGTGATCTTTAAGAAATTTGTGAGGCGGATGTGAGATGATTTGGGGGGTAAAGCAGATTTAAAGAGCATCACGATGACCATACCTCCGTCTATTAGAGAGTTGCTTCTATTAGAGATCGGTTTTCGCATCCCAAATACAGCACTCTCATCTCCAATATACAGGGGCAGATACAGCTTTTTGAGAAGGAGGATGCACAGTTCATTTTCACTCGGTTCCGCGAGAGTTTCAATGGTCATTTGGATCTGTCTATGCAGTAGATGACATTTCATATCAATGGTCTTTATCATGTCTACCCATGTCTTAGCTAAAATACTTAGCGCTCACACACACAAACGCTATGAAGCTCCTCTATAGGCCGCTATGGAGGAAATCTTTTGTCGCACCTTTGCTCACCCATTACAATTATTGCGCACGAAAACTTATATGAATGACTTCTTTGTACTTATACCTACAAGTGCGCCCTATTTTTGTTTTAAAAATATCCAGGGGTTGATATTTGCAAGCCATCAAAATTCTCAGTCGTAGGAAAACCTAATGTGCGCTCCTAAAATGGAATGGATTTTCCAATTCTGCAATTCAGAATTATGCACTGAACTAGTACAAGTGTGCTCTATTGTGTGTACTATTGTTTTGAATTGAAAGTGTATCAGTTTATTAATGTATTAATGTATCAGTAAAAACACAGAATGTGTTTAAATTGGAGATTTATAGAAATTTGATTTCCGCATTAAAGTGGGACAATTATTTCGGATTACCCACATAGTCACATGGCTCCTAATTTGCTACAGCTATGTTCATTTGTCATTTGAAATTGCCAAAATACAAATAGACTAAGGATCATTGGCTGAAAGTTATTTTGAATATTCCAAGTGTATATAATAGAGACAAATTTCACCTGAGAGAAACTTCAACCTGATTATGAGGTTGGAGGCGTTTGCGCCTCCTACCAATAAAGACACTAGATAGATATACGTTGTAATCAATGTAGACCAGCTCTGTTATGGAAATAGTTGTCAGGAGATACCACAAATGTGAAGTGACTCAGTTTTATGAATATCACGTTCCAATTTCAGGCATTTATGGAGAGGCTTGGATTGTGGGGAGACGGAGCACCGTTCAAGACATTTGAACATTTCATTGAATCTGTGCAGAAAAAGGGTTTAGGTAGGAGTATATATGTGCGTCACATGTTCAGGTGCTTTTTTTTCTCAAATTCTTCTTTTCAAATACCACAGACCAGATGTAAATTCCCCTGAGGCATATCAGGGAACCCAGATGGTCATCAAAGAATGACCCTTACAATCTCATCACACCATCTCAATGATAAAAAAACATCTGTTGATTTTCAATAATGCGTTTTGGCTCAAAGAAGCTGAATTAAACTGGACTTGGGAAAAAAACAATGAAGACTCATCTTTTCAAGGCTCTTCGAGGTAGTCATGACATTGAGAGGGATGTCAAAGTGTGTTATCAGATAACAGAAGGTTCAATGCTTGTCATAAGAAACGACTAAAGGGATTGGGTGGTCAGGCTCGCTGCCTTGGTTGACACCTGTCATTGGTTCCCAATTGCGCAGATCGATGCTCATGCTGTTGATCACTGGATTGTCTGGGCCAGATTCGATTATTTACAGACCGCTGCCATATAGCTGGAATATTGCTGAGTGCGGCATAAAACTAAACTCACTCACTCACAGAAGGTTCAAAGAAACATGTTGGTAGTATGAAGCACAACGCTGAGCCACGTTTATATGTCATTCCTCTAATTGTTTAATAGGCATTCTAGAAGTTGGTGAGTCAACAAATGAAACATACAACTTTATGGATGACAACTTATTTGCGTTGAGCGACGTTTCAGTGTAGATTCTTACACCGTTATCAAGCTAAAAGTGAGTACAACCAAATGGTGAGGAGCATATATACATGATATGTTGTGACAGGCAGCAGATTAAAGGTCACATGCAACGTAAAACACAACTTTGCAGATTCTGATACCTTTTGGTATGGACTTACCGAAACAAATGCAAATTCAACTCATAAAGTTGAAAAATAACGCGATGAAAAAAACCGCGCGAAACCGTAGTTCAAACGATTCACTAATTTTCCCCCAGAGCTTGGGGAAATAGGTTCACGCAGCTTGAAAGCGGGTTGTCCGGTGAATACTCGATGAAGGCTTTGGTGTGAGCTATTTTTCTAATGTTTTGTTGATATTTCACAGGAGCGATCTTTTTATATGTTATGACAGTAGATTACCGATTTAACTGTTTATATAATTTCACTTGTCTATTTTACCACACGTTCTTCTTACCGAGTCACTTTCTCAGTTCGATACTTAAAAGCAATGTCATTATTTAGCGTTGACAGAATTTCTAACTGTGATATAAATATGTCGTTGTCACAGACAAAACTCAATGTCTAATTTATTGACACCTATGTGTCTGTCTGCTAATGACAATATTCAATACACAACTTCGATCACTGACCACATGCAATTTGAACTTAACACCTATCAGGCTATACACCATAAACAAAATGCATTGTTTTATGGCCCGAGTTCGGTCTCTGTCACATTATGTAATTACACAGACAGGCAGGTGTGATACTTGTACACATGACATGTTCTGATGTCTGTTGATTGCAAATTGTTATACACAAAAAAATGAGCATGTATTTACAAAACCCAACATCTCTATATATACACACACAATGAGCCGTGAGGGCATCTGCAGATGAACCAGCCATTACACTTGAGTGCATACCCACCCGCTCTGACTGGGTTCGGTATCCCGGCTGCTTCGTTTCTTGGGAAGTAAACCCAAGTACACAATATTGCACTTTTGATTTGCGATTGTACGCTTATAATTTTTTTCATAATCAGCAATGTATATTATATGTCATGAATAAGTGATAATTGTGTTTTAATTATGTTTGATTTTTTGGTTGCATGTGACCTTTAACATTAACAACAGCATGGAATAGAAATAACAAGTGGTACATAATTGGAAGGGGGATAAACAATAAACAGGGGGATTAAGTAGTGACAACAAATAGACAAGGTGCTATTGATGGTCTATAGCTTGATTAGTTCTCTAGCCTATGAAGAACTACTGAATCCCCCTGTTTATTGGCTTCATCACTAGTGCTATTTGTTGTTTTTAGTTCCCTCCTGGCCTCTTCCAATTATGTACCACTTATTATTTCTGTTACATGCTGTTGTTAATTTTAATCTGCTGCTTGTCACAACATACCATGCATATATGCTCCTCACCATTTGGTTGTACTCACTTTTAGCATGATAAGGATGTTAAAATCTACATCGAAATGTCGCTCAATGCAAATAAACCAGAAGTTGTCATCCATAAAGTTGTATGTTTCATTTGTCATTCCTCTAGACCAAATAAATATCCCAGCATGACAACTGAGCATAATCGTTCAGGCATTGAAAGTAAGAAAATTATTGTAAAAATACTGAGTAACATTACTAACATGCGCCTTGTGTGACCAGGAGTTGCTGAAATGCTGGCTATGGAAATGAAGGCATCGGGGATGTATGTGTCACGCGGCCTGAGCTTCAAACAGGCAGAGGTGAGAGACCCATATATGGCTACACATAAGGATGCACTTCAACCTGTGACACATGTAGGCTGCATACGGAACAGTCTTGGGAAGCAGGTTTATCATATATTTTATTACACAAATATAAGTTACACATGGGACATCGGACAGTCGTGTGACACACATGTACACAGCACATAGGACAGTCGTGTGACACACATGTACACAGCACATTGGACAGTCGTGTGACACACATGTACACAGCACATAGGACAGTCTTGTGACACACATGTACACAGCACATAGGACAGTCGTGTGACACACATGTACACAGCACATAGGACAGTCGTGTGACACACATGTACACAGCACATAGGACAGTCGTGTGACACACGTGTACACAGCACATTGGACAGTCTTGTGACACATATGTACATAGCACGTAGGACAGTCTTGTAACACACATGTACAATGTACATAGGACAGTCTTGTGACACACATGTAGACAGTACATAGGACAGTCTTGAGACACACATGTACACAGTACATAGGACAGTCTTGTGACACACATGTACACAGTACATAGGAGTCTTGTGACACACATGTACACAGCACATAGGACAGTCATGTGACACACATGTACACAGCACATTGGACAGTCGTGTGACACACATGTACACAGCACATAGGACAGTCTTGTGACACACATGTACACAGCACATAGGACAGTCGTGTGACACACATGTACACAGCACATAGGACAGTCGGTGACACACATGTACACAGCACATAGGACAGTCGTGTGACACACGTGTACACAGCACATTGGACAGTCTTGTGACACATATGTACATAGCACGTAGGACAGTCTTGTAACACACATGTACAATGTACATAGGACAGTCTTGTGACACACATGTACACAGTACATAGGACAGTCTTGTGACACACATGTACACAGTACATAGGACAGTCTTGTGACACACATGTACACAGTACATAGGAGTCTTGTGACACACATGTACACAGTACATAGGACAGTCTTGTGACACACATGTACACAGTACATAGGACAGTCTTATGACACACATGTACACAGTACATAGGACAGTCTTGTGACACACATGTACACAGTACATAGGACAGTCTTGTGATACATGTACACTGCACATAGGACAGTCTTTTTTTTTGTCTTTTTTGTGTGTGTGTGTGTGTAAACATATTTTATTCAAAATAAATTGAACTAGGATTGGTAAAGAAGCCGTAATGGCTTATTTGAATACCTCTCCATTTCATTGATACATGAATAAAACAAATATTAAATAATATGCAGCATGATAGGAAAGCAAGCAACCTGCGTGTTAAACATTATTAATCATTTATCAAACCTATGCGATTTTATTATAAAAGTATGGACAGATTGTAGTATGAAAGAATTTACAAGTTCATTTTTGTTTGGATTACCATTTAGGACAGAATTTAAATTATATCCATGTTCGTAAAAATACATGCATGTCTGATGTTAGAATAATTAGGACAAGTAAAGAAGTAATGTTAAGTATCCTCATAGGGGTGACCACAGGAGCAGAATGGATCAACTGAAATGTGCCGTTCAAACGTGCGCTTTCAAATTACTGCACCCAAGTCTGAAGGGTGAGTGGATAATTTGGCAGAAACGTGTACCAAAGTTTTTATCAAATATATTAAAATTGAGTGGATTTGATGATTGGAATGCATTTTTGAATTGGCCTATGGTTTTCAATATCGCATATATTCTCAGGCAAATCATTCCATTGTCGTATTGTACCTGGTAAAACGAGTTGCTATACAAATCACTACTTACATCTTATAGTTTGAATGTTATTACTGTTTCTTAATCTATGGTCACTTAACTGTGATACTTTTTCGGCAGTAGATCAGTTAAATAAACTGGTGTCATATGATGAACCATTTTGTAAAATAATGATAACTTGCTAATTTGTTCACGGTCAACTAGGGCATAGAGTTAGTTTCCTTATATATTAAATCATGACTTGTTCCTCTAACTGCCCTGCAAATCGTCCGCAGTGCGTCTAAATGTAGATTTCGACAAGAATTTTTTCTTGTTCTTTAGTACAGTTATCCCAAAGGTGCGAACAGAAATCGAACGTTGGTAATATATATGACTTGTACATTTGCTCTAATGATTTTCTAGATAATCTATATTTAAAACTATGTAGACAATTTACCAATGGACGAACCTTTTTAACTACCGTAATTCACCAATGTGGGAGTTCCATTTACAGTCTGATTGCAAGGTTACTGCTAAAGTACTGTCGGAAATGCTAGAAAAATGCTTTTTAGCCTTAATATCTTTAGAAAGGTGATACATGTACTATGTTGTCAATATATCAACTCACCTATAGTGTACCTAATTTTTATTTCAATTGATTTAACATTCCCATGCATTTAAAGATCAGTTTACAGAAGAGAATTTGGTACCAAAACAACAACTTAGGATTTTTTCAGAGTTCAACAACAGAAATCTGAAATAGCCTTTACATTTATGCTAATAATACAGGTGGTGTAAAAATATGCATTAACGTTTTACTTAAACAAATAAATGTTGAATGTTTGTGTTACTTTACTTAATTATCGTTTCTTTATTGAAGAAATATTAATATAAATGTTAAGTCTTGATAAAGAAGTTTCCCGTCATGCATGCACATCTTTATCACAGCGTCCACTATGGCCAACTATTTGCAGTTGATTGCTGCAAAGGTTTATAAGTTTTTTGTGCTTGAAAAAGACAGAGGTAAACCTTTCATTAGTTTAGAAAAGGTTTATTACAGAACTTGTAGAGCTGTTGGTATGTCTTACCAACAAGTTTACAATATTGTAAACAAATCAGACAAGACAGAGACCGTCTCAAAGGCGTAACCGGGACATAAAACCATCCTTGACAACTTTGACAAGGGAGTACTTAGACGGGCGGTCTACAAACTATGAAAAGAAGAATATATATATATATTCTAAAGAAGCTACACCAGTGACTTCGTTAAATCTTTGGCCAATGTTCACAACTAGATTAAACTGACAGAATATTACATCCATACTTTTGCAATGAAATATACTGTTGACATGCAAAACATTTATTTAAACGTTGCACATTTCTACAATCAATCGATAAGATAACACAAGTGATAGGATTCTTTCCAATGTACAGTAATTCGTATGTTTATTTCAAAACAAACATACATACACAAATGATCCCTTACATAACCAATACGTATGCTATACGTACACATATTCAACATTTTGAAGAAAATATCTATTGAGATAACCCCTCGCCCGAGCGTGTGCTCAGGTGTCAATTTCACCTGTTGATACCGTGTATGCTGATGACGTAACACAGGCAGTTAATGTTTGTATCAAATAACGTCCCCTTACCCCTTATTTTTCTAAGTTTTTGGTATTTTCATCAGTAAAAACACATTTTAGGGCATGTCTCAAAATGTATTCCCTCGGTCTACATTAGGTAGATGTTTCTTAAAGTGATATTTGGTATTTAAGTAACTGTAATACCTCTGAATTTTAAATAAAAGTCAAAAAGCATTTTTCTAGCATTTCTGACAGTACTTTAGGTGTTATGGTAGCCGACTTCAGTAATGTCTACTCCATGCATTTTAAGCTTAGGAATTGGAAATTGATTACCGGTATTTCTGCGAGTGAATAAAACACCAGTCTTACCAGGATTAAAGCTAACCTGTCATATTTCAGCCCAGTGAGAGATCCTGTTTAGGTCATTATTTAAGGAAGCGGCAGTAACAACATGATTATCAACAATAACATATACCAAAGTATCATCGGCAAAAGACGAATGTTACAACTAATACACTCAATGATATCATTTATGTAAACTAAAAACAGTAATGGCCCAAGGACAGATCCTTGTGGCACCCCAGCAGTGACTTTCTTTAGATCTAAATTGTAATTGTCTATAGCTACTCTCTGTAATCTATTGTCAAGATAACTAAACCAATCAAGTAACTTACCCTTAATACCATAAGCTTCTAATTTCGCTATGATTCCCTATGCCAAACCTTGTCAAAAGCCTTGCTTATGTCACAGAAAACTGCCCTGACTTCTTTGCCATTGTCTAATGCATGTGGTATAAAATCATACAAGTATGTCAGTTGGTATACGGTACCATCCCCAGGCATGAAACCTGACTGCAAATTGGTCAATACGTTATTATCTAAAACAAAGTTAAACACATGTTTAAAAATACATTTCTCAAATACCTTTGATAAACAGCTGGTAAGAGCAACTGGTCTGTAGTTTTTACATTCATTAAAACTACCCTTTTTTATGAATAGGAGTGACAATAGCTTCCTTCCATATTGTTGGGAATTTACAATATTCTAGGGATAAATGGAATAGATTAGTAAGAGGAGTAACCTATTTTGTCTGGTCCACTGGCTTTGGAAATATCAACTGATAATAGGATGTCTCTTACTTCTTGTGTAGTCAATACATTAGACTCAAGTGAAATCACTACTTTACATTCAAGTGTAGGAGTTTCCTTATCAGGATAGTCAACTTGTGCATGGTTAGCAAAATATTCATTAAATATATTTTTATCTTTACTATCATTGATCAGATTATAGTTATGAATAGTCGAAGGAAATTTCTTATAATCTCCATTTTTTGTTGCTACAATAAATATATGATATTTAGAGAAGCAAAATATATTATGCATTTTCTGTCAGCTACACTTCGTTTCGATCCGTGAGTAGACACAATATATATGACAGTGAATTCTTTGAATAATGTGGACCAAAGTTATAATTATTGGTAACTGCCAGTTGTCTGTGGTCTGTGTTAGACCCCATCGCGGGGGATCGACTTATGCACGAAACATACCATTTTGACACTGATTTTAAGGGTCAAGTTTGGGGGTCGTCTTATCCATGGGGTCGTCTTATAGACGGTCATATACGGTACTTGTTCACTAAAGCCCACCAAAATTTAGAATTACTCCCCTGATT